TTCAAACTTTAAAATACATTCACATACTTGCCATATTTCACTTTGGTGACCACCTTAAGAAGAAACAGTAAGATTCACAAAGAAAAAAATATTATGCACTCAAATGAACACAAAATATCTACACTGTGGATACAAATACTAAATTTGTGGCTACAAATACTAGCTTACTAAAACACACCTTCAACATCCTCTTATTAGTGAAGAATTTCTGGTAAGGAACCTGATTTTTCTTTTGCTGATAAATATTGAATATATCTACTAAAAATTTGTAACACTAAAAATTGACAAAAACATCTTTCCAACTCCACCTGCTCCCATCTGCTAATGTGTTTACTTCACATAGCAATTCTATATTGAAAAAGTACTAGACTGAAAACACAAATATTGATTAGATTTAGTATTTGTAACTCATTTGATTGCATGGATGTCAACGTACACATTTCACATTAAAGTGGTGGATCATGACAGATCATTTTTTGTTAGCAGTAAGCATGAGAAACTGAAATAATCAGGGTTTTTTTTGGTCACAGAAATAACTTCCATCAGCTTTTTTTTTTTTTTTTTTTTGGCCAAAAAAAAAATTTCCTTAATTTTTTTTTTTTTTTTTTTTTTTTTTTTTCAAAAAAAGTTAAAAGTATTTTTCTAGGCTATTTCATTTCAGAAATTCTCTGCAACTGGAACATTTACATAAACTACACGTGTCGTTCTTTCTACATTGGGAGTATTAGGTCTTTAGGTGAATATCTACTTGTGAATGATAAAGACAATACTTCTTCATAGGAGACAGGAAGTAACAAAGTGACCAACTAGCAGAATTGAATGTAGTGTTACAAAGAAGGTGTTAATGGATGGAGCAGTGGATAGGTGAGATGACTGTTTTGCTAGACTTGAAAAAATTCTGAAAAGTAGCCTTGCTTGCTCATTTTAGCTGTAAGATAGAGCCTAGAGACTTTCATTACACAGGAATCAAAAGTTATCTATTGCACTACAAATAGGTAAGGATCTAACTTACTACTGAGGGTTTTGTCTGGTTCAGTAACTAAACAATGAATAGCAGGGAAGGGACAGAAAACAAGGAAGTAGAGCGTTGAAGCAAAATCTAAGGAGTGAAAGGAATGAAGCAGCAAGATGGAAAAAAACCCACACTCTCATCTTAAAAGTACTATAACAAGTTCTTTAGGATCCTTTATGATCAAAGATAACACTGGAAGAAACTTTGCACATTGAAATGAAAGAACTGAACTGATGATCTTGCAAAGTGAAATACTCTGAACATCTCTTGTCACTGAAATGAACTCCTGGCAATAATTAAAAACCTGTCCTTGGTCTTCTAAATCTGCCTCCTTTGACTTTGACACACAACATTCCCAAAAATTAAGTACTGATTACATCATTTATGCATGGGAGAAGTGAAGACTTCAACTTGAAAACTGCAATTTTCTTTTATATTCATATGAACCCCCGAAGAGTAGAACAAAATTCAAAGTTTGAAACAATGCCTCAGTCATTTGCTCTGGATATAGTCTATTAAGTTATCTGAAGCTTTAGATCAGAAATTTTACACTGTTAGCTTAAAAAACCCTCAAGAATCAACATTAATGCAAATATAAAAAATTCTCAATATTTGTAGAAGTATTTACCCTAGGTACCCCTACTGCTTTTGTGTCTGAAAAGAACATTGCATTTTACTTCATGAAGATGCCAACCACAAACACAGACAAAAACATAGTGAGATCTTAGAATCTCAGCAATGGAATGACGAGAAAAACTTGTAAGCCACACTGCGTCATCCTAAGCTTCTGCGAGTATTCAGCAAATTCATCTAATCATGTTAAGAAAGCCATGAAACTTTTAAACAATCAAAACTATATTGAACAAGATAAAAATATGTCACAACCACTATAAACTTTATGGTTGAGTGACTGAAAAGGGAGGACTGTTAGTGCAGTTTTCCTCTGAGTAAAACTTGCTTGCCTCTATATGTGAATCCATCTACTACAAATATGGTTTAAATACTCTTTGTGCAGTGGTCGATTTTGTTTGACACTCAAACAATTATAGAGAACAAGAAAGGTGTTCTACAGAGATTCATTAAAAGCTAGCAAAAGCTGGTTTGCTTCATCTTGGCTATCTACCTAATCACTGACATAGAGTAATCCCAATAGCAATTCGTCTTAAAAGGTTCCAACCTACCAAGAAATAGAATTACTTTTTTTACCAGGAAATTACATTTATGAAAACTGATTGAAATATCCAGGTTCCAACTCAATATTTATCATTTAGTACTTTGTTAAAAACAGAGATTTTCAGAAAACGTGGATGGCAAGTTGTAAACAGTAAAGCAAATTTGCAATTAATTGTTGTATTTTGTCTACATGATCTGGTTGTGTACATAAACAACATTATGTCTTCCAAAATATGATTATGAAAAGGTAAAATCTTCTAACAGATCAATCAGGAGCATTAGTAACGTGTTCTCCCATACCTTTTCTCCAATATCCTCATGCATTAGTAACCTGCTACTTACATTCATTTAACAGAGGTGCTCCCGTCATTGCAGAAGCTTGATTTTTTTTTTTTTCCCCTGAGACACACAGAGCTTTGTGTTATTCAGCAAATTCAGTAAGAGAGATGCAAGGGTTCATGTACACTTAGGACAAAAAAAAATGCAACAAGAAAACGGTACAACAAAATAAACTGGAATATTCAGTTGACAAAGAAATATAGTGCCACTTGCTCTGTGGCTAGACCACCACTCCAAAAATAAGCGTAATCAAATAAACAATTTTTTTCCTCTGACACTTCCTCTTTGTTCCATGCCATTTATGCATGTTTTGGAGCCCTGAAATGAGTTCCTAAACCAGCAAATGAGCATGTTGAAAAGATACACACTTGCAGATTAAAGAAGGAAAATAAACAACCTTGGAACATCCCCTGGATGCTGAATTCTATTTACTTTTATTCTCATTACTGTGTGGGAAGAGGCCAGTATAAATTTATTTCATACTGCATTATTAGAAAGCCAGGATGCAGAAGGAAAAACCGAACAACTGAAGACATTTACACACACTGATAATCTTGAAGAATTTGAACAAACCACATTTCTTGATAAATTCAGATGATGTTTGAAAACTTGATACTGTAAATGACTGAACAAAAATACAATGGGTAATTTCTTTGGTTTTTTGAAAGTAATACATAAAATGAACCAAGAACGGTCTAAGTGGTAAAGAAGCTTATGTACAAAATTCAGCCTCTAAGAAATAGGAACAGATGCCATCACCTGTCAAGTTTATTTTCCAGTATGGTTTTATAGTTTTTTTTTTTTTTTTTCCCTCTATATCAGCTTGTAACAAACTACCATCAAATACATCACAGAAAATCTAATCTAGCTAGCTGTTGCATGGCAATTCCTGTTATAAAAGTGGTGTGGTCTCACTCATTTTGAACAGAACCTGATTTTGCAGTCATACATGAAAAGCAAATCTCAACATGAAATACCAAAGCATGATCTAATTGTGAAATGAGCTCGACTCCACTAATTGCCCAAACACAATTTCAGATTTTCAATCTGTTTCAAACTTCTAGTACATTCCTTCTATAATCTCCAAATCTCTCAAGACAGTCTAGAAGACTGCATTCTGCTTCATGACAGACAGGCTTTACTCCTTCCCATTGTGACCAACTTCCTGAAAACATACAGGTATCATCTAGAGCTATTTTCAGCAGAGCTGTCTCTGACTTATGCCTGTTACTGGTCACCTTTGGTTTTCTTTGGACAATTTTATCATCAGGCATAAGGCTCAGTGCAGTTTCTCTGTTTTGCTTGCTCTTCTGCTCTGAGCACTGTAATGTAAAAAGTTCCACATTTTTATCTTTAAGCCATCAGACAAGATACAATTTTTTAGGAAAAAAGTGAAGGAGATGCTTCAGACAGAATTCGCTGAACAATCTCAAGAATAGTAGACTATGCAATGAAGCTCAAGTTTGCTGTCCATCAGAATAATTTTGATGCTATTACAGGGAAGGTAAGCATAAAACAATCCCATAGGTTAAACCAAAATATTTCTGTGGGAGGTTGCCCATAAATCTTGTTTGCTGACAGGAAAGAATGAGACAGTAGGAGAGAAGAACTAACAGATGCTGGCAATCATTTCAGCAAGCAGAATAATCTTCAAGGATCATGAGTTAGATAAGGAAGAATGTTATTATTTGCCATCTGCTACTGGTTTATTATTATGTCAGCATCTGGTGCCACAGAAAGATCTCTGTGATATGAACGCACAAAGCAAATTTAGACAATTTTCTTCTGCTGAAAGGAATTCTGCTGAAGGTAAACATTACAGGCCTTGCCACTGGTCAATTTGCTTAGTTTTTGACGTATGCTACTTAAAGCCTGATAAAAAGTAAACATATAGAGTTCACCTCAATGATTAAATAGTATAGTCTAATCACTAAGAACTGAATAATAATCCCACAAGGTTGGCATTAAAACTTTCTTTCTATTAAATTTTGGCTGTTTTTTTTTCCAAATGTCAGGCAGCAAATATCTAAGTTTGAGCAAAGCCAGTTGGTTTGAAAGTATTAAACTAAACAATAATAAAGTGGGGCACAGATCTGCCCCAGCCCAGGCTAGAAATTTGCACATACATTTTTTTGACAAAATACTGTTTGCTTAATGTTGTTACTCAGTGGCGGGATTATCTATGTTCCTGGGGATACTGAAGGACACTAAATACATTTGTGGTACTAACATTTCATATTCATGATGGGTATTGCAAGAGATAACATGAAACTTCAGTAACCATAAGGTGTTGGTGGCCCCACAGGTTCAACTGTGCACCAGTACACGTGGAACGAGCTACACTGCCCTGCATTTATCCATTATGTAGAATGACACAACCCTGGCATGCGAACCAACCTTGTTCAGCAGAGGCAAGACATTAATCTGATAGATTACAGGGCTGAGCATGGAGCTTGCAAGGCATGAATGTACTTACTTTTGGTGTTGGACAGGATGCAGTGGAGAGGCGAGAGGTGGCTTGGGCACGAGGAGATTCTGAAGGAGTAGTACTGAGGGAGGCTGTATCACGTGGGAGGACCTGAACACCACGAGAGATGATGGAATCTGGAATCTTAAAGAGAAGAGAGATGGAATTAATAGCAAAAAATATACTGTATGTGAAACTTACTCAAAACCTTACCTCAAATACACAGGAATACCCCACTCCTCACTTTGCACACCTCCTTATACTCCAGTGCTTGGCAGTGGTTAATGGCATACTCTCCTAATTTCAGTAACAAATGCCTAACAAATATATAAGGTCACATTCTAACTGAAGTAGCACAGAACATACTAGTTGTTCTGAAAAAACTATGAATCAAACATACCATAACAGGAAAGAATAAGAAAATAATGGTTTCCTCTTAAACCTTACACCTTTGTTTCAAACTCAACAACGACCAACAATGATTTCTACCATGGCACTAAGGGAGGCAGATTTTCCATTCACTAACTAGGGGGCAATATTCTAAAAAGAAAACCATTTGCTAGAACTTTACTGAATCCCTCTAAAGAAATGTCATGCAATGAGAAAACTTCTCACAAGAAATGTCATGCAGTGAGTAAATACTCTTTATTCCATGAAGACTTTATTTCAGCTATAAAAATTCTCAATGTAAAGCTTGTGCTGCAAAAGCTACAGGCCTCTCTGGAACGAGTGAAGGCAAAAGCATTAGAAACCACCATCCAAAGCCAACACTTGGTTTAAAATACATTATGAGGGGAAAAACAAAAATTCAGTCTTTTTTTATTTCCCACATAATATATCAGAGTACCAGTTAGGGAAGCATATCCCTCCTGACAAACAACTGGCAAACTGGTAACAATGGATGAGGAAAAGGCTGGGGAAATTAACAACTTTTTGCCTCAGTCTTCACTGGCAGCCTCTCCTGCCATACTTCTTGAATGGATGGACCTTGAGCCAGAGGAATGATTAAGCCCCACTCTAAGGATGATCAGGTTCATGACCACCTGAGGAACCTGAACATCTACAAGTCTCTGGGACCTGATGAGATGCATCCCAGAGACCTGAGGGAATAGACTAATGTAGTTGCTAAACCACTGTCCATGGCATTAGAAAAATCATGTCAGTGAGATGAAGTCCCAGGTCAGTGGGAGCAGGGAACATTACATCCATCTTAGAAGAGGGTAGAAAGGAGGAACTGGGAACTACCGACCTGTCAGCCTCAGCTCTGTGCCTGGGAAGATCACAGAAAAGATCCTCCTACAAGCCCTGTTAAGGCACATGGAGGACAGGGAGGTGATTTGAAGCAGCTAGCATGGCTTCACTGAGGGAAAATCCAGGGAAAATTCTATCACAGCTAACCAGAAAATATAGACATTCAGATCTTGGAAGGAATATACATACACATACATATTTTAAGATCTTTCTCCTCATTAAGAATTTCTTAATTCAGCCTGATATTGAAGTTCTAAGAGGAGCATCAGAAGAACCCCCAAGTCTGGGGAAAGTGGCAGTAGCAGACAATGAAAGGAAGCAAGAAAGGAAGATCCAGTGACAAGTCAAATCATGAATGTTGGGAATTTCCAGACAGGATTTTTTTAATAAATGGAGATGCTGTTACCCAATCTGTATCTAGGCATTTTGAGCATTCTTGCCTATTAAGGCTTCAGGGCAGATAGAAGCCACTGGGAAGTATGGCTTCCAGGAACAAGCTTGAATCCTAGCTTTTAGATAGGTTACATCTCCATGTAACATAGCTGTTACATTATTAAGAACATTAAGAGAGCTTTGTTGCTTGTCTTAGTGAAGTTAAAGTGACCAATCCTAATACTTGTGTCATGAAATACATGTCATTTCCTACTTCCTTGGTTCCCCTCTATAAATAATGACTATGTCTAACTTAGCAACCTTGACTCAGAAATACTGGGTTACACCTAGGGGATCTTATTTCATCATATACCCTCCTCCTCATGTTAAGAGTTTCTTTTGTTTATAACTTGTTTTAAGTTGTGTGAAAACAGATTTTATTCTCAGAGTGCCACCAACTGCCTCCTTTCTGCTCTACCGTGTTCCTAGACTGTTTTATGCCACACAGTTACTGTCTGCTCTCCTCAGAGGATCTTTCAAGGCTAAGCACTTCATGCTAAAATTTCCATGTAAATTCTGAAGTCAGCAGAGTTTCTTTTCACTATGGACAGTTACGCTGGGGATATCTTCCTCTTCAGAAACAGTGCCTAACTGGCCTCTACATGGAGTATTCTGATTTGCAAATCACATTTCAGAGATGTATCTTAGAGGAAAGTGAATCAATGATATTCCAAATTCTCAAATGGTTTGTAGTCAGAAGCATGATTTCCCTTCTGTTCACTTTTTCTCCTGAAATCCCATCTTAAATTCATCAAAGCTCAAAACAGGCTGACAATCCCCAAGATTTATATTGGCATAGATACTCCCTACATGTTTCAATGCTTCTTTTTAATGTCCCTGCCTAAAGAAAATACAGCAAAAAGTACACTTTCAGAAGAGCATAAAATAAAAGAAGACAAAGTCAAAGAAAGAACAGTTTTAAGGTTTCAAATAAGATACCTTTTGTCTACTCTCCTGTGATAAAAAGCTGCATGCATCTTGATATGATTGTGCACGGGTCCATTACTCCTTTTATGTACTCCTAGACTCCACAACATGTATAACAATATTGCTTTTGGAAATGACACCATGATTCAGTTCTCTCACGGTTTACTCTGGGTACTCTAGAGTACCAGATATTTCATACTGCCTCATACCCTTCAGGCAAGAAACATTTTTATTTCCCCACCATACTGATCAATCATTACCTTCTACAATTTTATCTGATATCACCTTTTTGCAATAAAAACCTCTCTCTGCAATAAAGTCACTGAGACAATTCCAGTTTCCCCTGAATTGTATGTGTAGTACTAATTTTTGCCTGTGAGAAAATTAAAATTTAAGTAAAATTTCAGCCATGATATTAATCAGAAAAGGAAGCTGAAGATAAAGGGAAAAGATGGTCACAGGCACTTAATTTCAATAAGAATTATTTCCAAATCACTACATAAAATGTAATTACCAGAAAATAATTAATATATAAACCTATCTAGACTGTAGAGGAAAATTTCTCACTGAGAGAATATAGTTAGGTCACAGTTACAAATTTTGCTCTTTTTCTAAAATAAAAGTGGAATGTGCTATATAAATAAGCACTCATTATTCTCTTTGAACGACTACAACCTGCTGAATTTTGTGAATCAACTAGTATGTCTATTCCATTAACAAAAACACATAAAAATATAATGTGACATAGGGAAGTTCTCATTTTTCTCACCTATATTTAGAGTGTTTTGAATTGTAATATTAAAAAAACTAAATTTAGGCAATATAAGCCTCTAATCAAGTCAACTTCTTGTTAACTCTGTTAAAGAGTTTAATAAATCCATAAGAAATTTCTGTGCGTCCTGGTGCACAGGAACCTTCAATAAAGAAGGGCAGGAATGTTACTGCATTTTGGATAGCTTGTTCTTTTAACTTTCAGTAAGTCACACTGAGCATTTATGATCTGTCTCCCTAATATTTTTATTAAGTTTTCAATTTCAAACTAATTGAATACAGAGCAAAAATATCAAAACTTTAAATGGGGCACAATGAAATTCTTAGTTCTTAGTGAAAATAGTTTCTGTTTGCACTAGCTGGAGTGGAAAACCTGTTGTAACATACCGACAAAGAAAGTAATGGATGAAGTGACAGAGAAAGATATTCACCATATCCATCAGTCATGGATTCTACAATTTTTATCTGACCTGGCCTTTCTCTGGCGTACTTTTATTTTGGTTTAAATATTTGTGTTTTCACATTAGAGAACTTTGACAAGATCATTGATAAGAAAAAGGAAAAGATATGAGTTTTTTATTCTCTTTTGCTCAGAACTGAAACAAAGATTGACAATGATGGTGAGGTAAGAAAACACTCTGTAAATGGCAATTACTATGACTGTTATACAAGAGGAAAAAAAAAGTCTTAAAAACATACAGAAAAAAACCCAATAACCTGCCAAAAAACTAACCACTTTCTGCTCTGAGTCTGAAGATCTGATTTGGATTATAGAACGCATAAAACAATAGCTCAAGAGTAATCTGCAAAAGAACACAGAAACATATATGACAGTTTAACAGTGTTCTTCATAGAGGCTGAATTAAGTGTTCTACTGATACTGAAGAATATCTTGAAAATTCTAGTTTAGTGACTCAACTCAAAAAAAAACCCCAAAAAAACCCACTGCAATAAATGTATGTAAGTATGTATATATACTATACAGCATTATCATCAGGTGTGAATTTTAAAGTCTTCACATGTCCTAAGTGACTTTTCAAGAGACACAGAATCATGTTTTAAATACAGAGGTGTTAGGCTGTTTGATTGATGGCTTAAATTACTATTTGCCTAAGGGAACAGGTCATTTTTTACCACTCATTGAAATAGTTTTCTACTATTCACCAAAACCCAGTAATTTAAAATAAGCCCACTGCTTCCTGACTCCTGAAGTCTTCTGTTTTTGGGAAATTCTACCTCTACACAGGAAACAAAAATGAGGCAGAAACTGCAAGTGATGAAAGCAAACTGTGAACACCCAGTACAAATGCTGTATTATGCTGACAAAAAAACAGCGAAAAGCAGCAAAACAAGACAAAGAGGAAAAAGTTATGATTTCATAGCTCTAAAGCAGTAATGTTAGGAGATTATTTTAATTATATTCAATTATTGAGTACATTAGATGATAAAACCAGTGACTAATGAGAAACATAGGCTTTATAGCAATTATTACATCTCAGCAGATAAATGATTCAAAGCGATAACACACATGACCTTTACCTTGTTTCGCCCTTTACCTTAAACAGATGTTTTCTGTAACATGGGCTCTCAAAGATAGCACCGATGTGTCTTTGTTAGAAGAAATAAGTAACACTGTGCATACACAGACTAGGAGGCAGGCAGAGCATTTTTAGTTAGTGTTAGTGCAAAAGCCTCTTGGAAGTGTCTCTTACCAGTTCTCCTGCACTGCCTGCTGTGTGATGGCAATAACTGATGAGACCAAGGATGGGCTGTTGACCTTTAGCCATGATAACAGCTGGACTGGTAGAGGATGGATGCTTCTAATGCACAACACATAACAGCCATGAATACAGTGACAGAAAAACATGAAACTGTACAAGCACATGACCAAAAATGAATGAGGTGAAAACAACTATGACACCAAAATGCCAAGCTCATATGAACACAGCCAGTTGAAAACTCAGGTTATTTCCTGCCTTTAAAAATGGCATATATTATTTATCTTTGCCTGCACCAAAAGAAATTAAACAATTTAATATCTGCATTAATAAAGACTGATACTTGCAAATGATAATTACCTTAATTCATCCCTGTAAAGACATATGTAATCAGGATTTTCTGTATATTGGGAGATGATCTCCAGCTGCAGATGTCTTAGAAATGTCAAGATGTCTCAGATCTGAATTCACATTTCTGGAGTTAGAATATTGCTGCTTTGGTTTAGCAATTGTTTAATGTAATTTTGAATTACTTAGACTTTCAATTCTCATAATAGGAATTAAAAGCACAACTTGTGGACTAGATATAGAATAAAGAAGTCTGGAAAAAACTGTTTCCAAACACACAGTGATACATTATCTTTCCATTCAAAAACTGAACACATAAAAATGAGGTCAATATTTATACATCTCTTGAAATAGTACAAAAATTCTTGGGAAGATATTTAAAAGTTGAATTCAAATTATTTACAAGTGTTACCTCTTTTTCTTCATTTGCAATCTCCAATTTATTATTTTAGTTTGAGTAGTGCTGATCTATGATTACTGGTTAAAGCAAGGCTATGAAGACTTTATGATATTTAGTTTGTTGACAGAATTTCACATCTTTTATGCAGGCATGCACATTGGAATACAGTAATCAGGATAGTTTACTACTTAAATTGTTACCTGTCTGTCATACTTTTACCAGTTTTCAGAAACTAAAATTTTAATTTCAAATCAGATATTACAGCTTGCAAGGTTTTGTTGTGATTCCTTAACATGCCGCCTACTGGACTTTGCATGTTCAGGCGTGTGAATACTTTGAATTATAAAAAGCCACTAAAACCAGTCTGTCACATCAGAATGGTATCATAAAACATATGTTACCACCAAGATAATAAATGATATTTCTCCCACTGGAATTTGAAATCACCTACCAAAAGAGAATTCATATATTTTTAGGAAGCTCTACTTCTACAAAATGTACCTGAAATAAATCTGACACGAAGACATCAATGTAGAGTCATAACATGCAAATGAACATTGGTGGAAAGTGCCTGAGACAGAAACTGAAGGGTCTCTTAAGGATAGAAGCCAGACTCACCTTAGCTGCAATGGCTGCTGCTGTTATATGTGAAGAAGAACTGTCCTCTGTTGAGGCAACTCCACTGTCCTTCTTCTCTTCCTCCTCTTCCTCACACTGCACTCCTTTGTCTTCTGTCTGTTTGTGAGGGCTGGTGGTTGGAGGAGGAGAAAGAGGAGGTGGTGGTGAAGGTAGATCTTCGAGCTCATCGTGTACCTCCTTTACTTTTACAATGGCATCCCGCAAGAGATCAATGGCGTGAGGTAGGGCTGGCAGTATAAACTGAAAGCATTCCTATGCAGAATGAGAAGAGAAACCACTATGAAAAGTTACCTGCACTTGCAAATGAGTTCACTCTTTCAATATATTTGGGATTTAAATGAATCTTTTCACCTGACCATAAATAAAACCTACCATGTCCTATGCAACTGCTCTTAAAAGATAAACGAACTCTGAAACAGATCTGTTGACCATTCTATAAATTTTTGCCTTTTTTCATGCAAATACAGTAAATTGCACAACAATTGCAATGAGCTGAAAACAAGAGGTACATTTCTGTGAATACGTAATACAGAAAACAGTTCACAACAACTGGCAGAATGCTACAAAAATTCAGAAGAAAACCATTAACTATATCCCTGCAGGGATATTAGCTTCAAATCCTTCCTATTATGCTCTCTCACAATTAGAGAACAATTCATAAGGGTTTTCATAATTATACTTTTATATAATTATATCCTTTTTATTCATGGACTTATTCTACATACTGGAAGAATGACAAACTACACTGATGTCATTGTAATGCCATGTAACTAAAAAAATAAATCCATAAACAAGCTAATTTTCAAACCTCTCCTTGTTCTATAATCTTACAAACAATTAGAAAGTTTATTTAATATGGCGAGAGAAAGCAAAACTGCAGATGCTGTGCAATTGCTCTAGCTCCATAATGGGCACCCATATAACTACCATGTACAGCTACCTGTGCTGCTAAAATATGCTGGTGCTTCATCAAATGAAAGCAGAAGCTCAGGACGTAATGTGCTGCAGCTGCCTGCTCTGACCAGGGTCTGTATGAAACTCAGGCTTCTTAAGGCTTATTCAGTAAAGTCTTGAAAAACAATCCAACTACAGAGACTCCACAACCCTTGCTGACAACATGCTTTAATGCTTAACTACCCTCAAAGCGTTTGGGGTTTTTTTCAGTGTTGTTTTGGTTTTCCACGTCTTTTCTTTTTCATCTAGAAGCTACCTCATTCAATTTGTGACTGTTGTCTCTCATTCTTCTGCCATGCACCGCAAGAAAGTTTTCTTATGTCATTTGAGGAGACTGCATATAAACATTTAAATATTGGAAAATGATGGCAGGGTCACAAGAAATAATTGCCATGGCAATGCAGTCAGGAACACACAGGTTGACAGAGAAAGCTGGCAGTACTCCAGCCCTTCAGTTTGTTTGAAGCATAGGAAGATTTTTAAAAATGTATTGCGATATTTCAGATTAATCAGAAAATTAATAATTCATAAATAGATAATGAAATAAATATTTTCAATAGACAAACAACTACATAAGCAAAATAATAAGCAAAGAATCCATCAGAAATTACTGGAGTTTATATATCTCACTTTGTTAGTAAAACATGACTCACAAGCATTGTATTTCTTCAAAGCTTCTAAATAAGAGCACATCTTTCAGTTGCTTCTTTAAGAGTAATGAATGATAAGTCAGACTACCTCATAGATATCTAAATTCTTTAAACATTCAAGTTGGCAGTGCAAACAGCTGCAGTAAACCAGATGAGTGCAAATACTTTATATAATTAATGTATATTAAAACATATTTGTAAAGATAATAAAGATTATGACTTATAATGTAACTGGAAACAGGAGAGTTATTGTGCCTTCACAGTATTACATTTTAAATGGTTTAAAATAATGAAGCATACAACTATCATTACTTTAGCAAAGAAGCAGATCTCAAGTAAGTAAGGAAAGAGAACAATCTCTGAACTGACCTCTAACTGTAATAATTGACTAATCAGAGAAGCATGTTACCCACTACACATAAAGCACTCACATAAAGCCTTGCTGGCTTGAGTGTTAATGCCCAGACTCCCAGTTAGTCCTCCAAAATCTCATGTTACATATGTAGCTCATTGTTTTAGGCAATTGTTACTACAATTATAAAATGTCAAAGACTTAATAAACATCTGGTCATTTCACACTTTGCCCGCTTCCATAATATTTACTGTCTTTTGCAAGACTAATAAAAAAAACCTCACAAAAATGGAAGATTTCTGCAGATGTAGATTCAATGGCACATGCCACCCAAATGTTCTCTGGTGAAAACATGTTTGGCATGCAGTCCATTTTTGAGGTGAAGCATTTACACTGCTGCCATTTTCCATTAATATTTTGTTAAAGAAATAGGTATACTGCTGCAATTTCATAGCTTTATATAAGCTTCTCATATGATCATATTTATACAATGGAAAGGAAATCAGCAAGTGGTAAAAGAGAAAAATGAGGGAAATTCTTGGTGACAATCTGTCCTTTTTGGTGCTTGAGATTCATCCTTTTATGGGCCAATTTTCTCCACTCTTCATCTTAAAAGTCTTTGCTAAAATCTGAGACTTTACAGATGTCTCATACTAAAAGAGATCATGACAGGACAGAGTATCATCAGGACAGGCACAAATAAAAATCAGTTTATTAGAAGCTTGCTTGTATGATGCAATCATATGACTTTTTTCTTTTCTAGCAGAATTACCTTCTTCAGGACTTACCCTATATCAAACTACTGGTAAAATACTTACTAATGCTTTTTCATTTCTTTTCCTCATTCACTTTCTGCAATTTACCTATCTCTAAAGTCTGATTGCCTCAGGACTGAAAATGACAATTGCTTCTGTGGATTAGGTGTGCTCCTGAACACAATAAAAACTATTAGATTGCAGGCTATTTCATCTCTCTCCTAATTCAGCAAAAGAAGTATTTACTTGTGAAATAACCTTCTTACTGGTGCATCATTTCTTTAAAATGGGCAGCCATTGCTATGTTAAATACATGTACATACATATGATTTCCCATGTATAACTGGAAGACTTTCAGGAAGGTATACTCCCACCTCACCATCCTCCAATGCCTCTTGTGTGTTTTGAAGGCTTTTAAATGTCCTTTAAATTACAGTCTCACTAGATTTCCAGAAACGTTGTAAGGAATTGTAGAATCATAGAAGGGTTCACACTGAGTCCTTGAACAGAAACACATCGACAGTGTATCTGAAAACCTATGGTGCCTGCTTAAGACCATAGTATTCAAAACATCTCCTCTTCAACTTTCAGGTGACAGCCCACATAAATGTGGTTTTGTACCTCCAGACAGAAGCCTGAGAAACAGCGACTTCAGGGCTGTGCTGCTACACCCATCAGTACTGTCTGCTCCGTGCCTGGGCACTCCAGGTTCATCAGATGTGCACCAGGAACCAGCTCTGAGAGGCCAGAGGTAAAGACATTTATTAACAAGGCCAGACATAGTCTGAGCCTGGAAGAAATAGATTCCTGTGACTGATGGGGGACCTTCCTCAGCAGTTTTGTATCAGGTTGGACAGATCACTTTTCAGCTTAGGAGTATCTCTGCAGAGAAGATTGTTTTTCTAGCAGCCAACTATGAAGAAATTAGTGAAAGATCTAGTCTTACTAACACACTCACACACACACAAATACCTGCTGGAGTTTATTTCTCTTCCTCTCAGCTATAGAGTCAGACAGACAACATGAATAAAGACTAAATGAAAATGAATAAAGATAGCATGAAAAAATTCTAAATTCTCCATCCAAAAAGAGCAAAACGCAGGAAGAAAACAAAATTTACAAAGGGTGAAAAGTCTGATATACACATATAGAGAAGATTAAAAAACATTCTCAAACTCTCAAAAAAATTATTTCGCTTTCTTCCCTCTTGCTGATCAAAACTGCAAAAGCTCCAGCAAGATCTACCATATACTATATATTCATCTTATTTATGTATAAAAGAGAATGATTTCTTGGAAGCTGGAGGCAACCCTCAGATAAGGTACAGCTAATTAGAGAAGAAAGGGAAAGTGTAAGAGATCATTAGACTCTTCACTGCTTGCTCAAGTGAGTGCTCTCTTGCACTACATGTAATGCTGTCCTGGTCACACAGCACCTTCAATCAGATTGGAGCTGTATGGTCCTGGGCTAAGAGTGATGGTGTGGTAACTTTACATGAACATGCATTTCAATTCACTTTTTGTAAAATTTGTTATAGTGGGCACATTCTACCATTCCAAACAAGGAGAAGTGCTCATCATAGTTCCTTCCTAGCAGATCAGTAAGAACATTTCTTACCTGTGACCCTTTCTTGCTACCTGGAAGATTAATAATGAGAGTTTTCCCTCTGATTCCACACACAGGCCTGAAATGAAAGAAACACAGACTGAAATTCTTGCATGCAACTATCTCCACTATCAAAACAAAAGGAAAGCATTTAAGATAAACTCTATGATTTATCAGATTTTGTAAACTTAATTTCCAATATATTTGCTGATTATGTTCTCAAGAAAGAAACTGGGAGAAGCTGAGGTGAAAAAGCATAAAACAAGGTTGATAGGGTCTAACATCAATTTATAGTATAAACACTGGCTAGATTTCCATCTTTATTGAGATCTGTGTATCTCCCTTAAATCTACTGTTGACTTGTGTCCAATACATTATTTGATATAGTCCCCATTTGGTCATACACATGGTTCCTTTGCAGTGTAATTGACCGTGTCAAACATTATGTCCCTGGCCAGGTAAAAATACTAAGTTGTGCCTGTTACATTAATTCAAATAGGTCCTTTCTATTTAAAGATTAAACATAAGAAAAGCAGAGAAGGAAGTTACTCTCAAGTGAAAATTGTATTTATGCAATTCATATATAATTCTTCCTAATAGTTTTCCCCTCTTCCTCAAGAAAAGGCAAGACCAGCTGTCAAAGATGGAGCTTTTATTTTTTTGTCTTTTAGAAATTTCTTTGGTGTTGATGTAAGGCTGAACACTCAAGAGCTCTAAGTTTTCTATTGGCTAGAGTTTGGCTATTCAACATTTTAGCTAAATATTAAAAAAAAAGGAAACTAAATTACAGAATATTGTCTTGAGGTTGAAAAGAGTGCTTCCACTGTTTACAAAAGCCAAGGTGAAATACCAAGGGCAGGGATATAAGAATAAGAAAAATGTAAAAGGACAAAACTAAGCCATGAAAATATGGAGGTTACAGTTCAGAGAAACTGTATGACATTCTCTTTATTGAATTAAAACCTGAGCTATAAGTCAAGATAGAACAGAAAATAAAATAATTTCCAGTTATGCCATGGTCGCATGGCATTTTTCAGCAGGGTAACAAGTATTTCCATGACAGCTGGCACAATGCTCACAAGTAAATAGCACAGAGAAGGTCACCTTTGTGCCACTAAATGAACTTTTGATATCACACTCAAGCCAGCCTGAAGTGTTGTTTTCAAATGGCACTTTGAGCATTGCATGACTCCTAGCCTATCTTTTCTCATATTGCCTTCTTTCACAATATGTACCCCCAGTTTAGAAAGAATTCCAGCTGAGGAATCTCCACTGCAGCAGAGATGAGCCTGAATTAAAGAAATGTGTTAATTTACTCCTGTTGCAGTAGTCAAGCTTACAGAGCACAAACTCAATCCAGCAAATCCCATATGTGGGTTACCGTTCATGGCAGACTTAAAACAAAGGAAACAAGAACTGTCCACAGAGCGATAAAAATGGAATAGTGGAATTGTGTTTGGCAGACAGCTCATTTAGTAGCCATCTTCTTGGCTCTTCTACTGTGCTTAAAATATTTTTTGAGCATTATAAGCTAAATGTCCGGTACAACCAACCAATAATCAAAAAAGGACTAAACCAACTGCACTAAACTCAAATTTCAGCTGCCAATAATCAGATTTAGTGGCTCAAGAGAGAAATGGAGCTGCCAAAAATTCTCAAGAGATCATGCAAAAGTAAGTAAAAGTGCTTAAGAACTGCATGGCTGACAAAAGTATTGTGTGCGCTTTCAAGAAAACCACACAGACTGTGCATGCGTTCCAGAGACTTTTAGAGAAAAATCAACAGTATTCCTCCAGATCTAGGGTAGTACAAAAAACATTTGTCTTTAACAAAGGGATTTTTTTGTCAAGCAAAGCATTTTAATACTTGATGAACAACATACAGAAAAATTCTTCACTCACCACCAAAATACTACAGTTCTAAAATGAAAAGACAGCTATTTAAGAGTGTGCATCAATATTACAAATAACCTGGCACAGAAAATACAGGAAGATACAGTCTCTAATAGGAACAACAAAGGGAATTTAATGAGACAATGCAATTACCATGAATTTGGCCCATTCACTGAAGTTAAGACTTCTAGTCTTGATAACAATGGCAGTCTTCAATGATTTGTGCACAGCCATTGGATAACAATAAGTAATTCTAGGGAAAGAGTTCACCCTATATTTTGAAGGAAGTAGTCTTACCTAGAGAGCATGCCCAGAGGTGTAACATTAAGTGATCCCATCAGCATTGCCAGGGCCATCCCCGGGGCTTCTCGCTCTATTACTTCTTTAGTGGCCTGCAATCAAAGATTAAATAGCAAACTGAGTGAACAAGTGGAAGGATAAGACAAAAATGAAACCAGCTAAAAATTAAGTAGGAATATCTCCTCATTCTTTTTTCTGCCAAGAAAAGTTGCTGCTAAATTCTCAACTGAAACACGCTATAGAGTTTTCTTTTGGTTGTGTAAAATAGGGAAAGACAAGGAGCTTGGATGAAAGACTGTTAGCAGCACTGTGAAGATTCCTATAGAAAGTTATGAAAAGTCAGGACCCTATAAATATAAAAAGTGTTAACCAACACCACAGAAATAACAACTGCAGCGAACAGAAAGGAAAAACGGCTTGAGAATAAGCAAAGAATGTAACTGCCTTCTCTTCCTCATCAATCTTGTGCATTTTCCTGTTGAGATTTTCCCAGACATGAGAAGGATGAATCAGTCTGTGCAGAAGATAGAAAAAAAATTTGCAAAGGGAAGCCCATGTAGCAGGCAGGCAGGAAAATATTAAAATGGTAATGATAATGGCCAGAGGCTGAGGCCTTCCCTTTTGATCATGTCAGCAGAACAGCAGTTCCAAACAGGCTGGTGGCTTTTTTTCAAAAGCAGTCCATACACAGTGGGCACTGAGAAGTCTGGAAGCAGAGTCTGAAAATTCTTGGGTTTTTATCCTTTTCCCAAACAGGGAATCAGATGAAAAATCATGCACAACCTTCTGTCCTTACTTCTTAACACAAATTTTCTCAAAAGCACAATCTGTCCAGTCTCCCAACATCTAAATTTACTTAGGACACAACATCTTAAAGACAGGTTACAGCCCTATCTTCTCTTCATTTCCCCCACAGTAGCTGTTGTTCAGTGGATCACATTGCTTCATGCTCTGAAACAAGATTCTAACTTATTCAGCACAACTAAATCAGTAGCAATGCTCATAAAACTGTGAATTCCATGGTATAATATACAGCCAAACTACAATGCTTTGATGGTACAACTATCAAAACAGAAATAGAAAAGAACATCTTAAGTTTAAGGACACCCTGAATAAACTGAATTTTCTTCACAGTTTGATATAGAAAAAAAACCAGGCTAATTATTTTTTGGGAAAGATTCAATTATAAATCACATACTTGTACTTTTGTAAGCTCTTAGTTTACAAATAGAAAACTAAAGTACTAGAGAAGAAAAATGACAGAATTATCTCAACAGCATCCCTTAAAGAAGGACGCTTAGATGTAAGGGTGCTTACATGGAGCAATAAATAAAACAGAAAAAAATATATCCATCAAGAGTACTGATATTCAAATGGCCATATTCTCAGACATGCTTTTGATATTTTTAAAGGAATATCAGAATATTAATTAGAAATTAATATCAGTATTAGAAGACATCAGACAGTGCTACCAGGTAAACCTCAGAGTACTTTGTTAATAAGCAAACTTATAATGTGCTCAGTTAGGGGAAGCTGGAACTTTGGTCTATAAAATCCAAGCAACTTTAATTTAGTAGCTGACACCACAGTCTCCTGGATTTCAACCATAGCATGTTGGTTTTTGGATCTGCCATCCTCTATGCAGAAACAGAAAAGTTATATGAATACAACCCAGTGACTGTGTTTCACACAGGGAAAATAAGAAATGAGCTTGGAATGATGTAGACAAAAATAAAACTCCACCATGGAGAGAGATTACCTTAAGATACCTGCTGAGGTATGAAACCATCAATCACATTAAAAATTCTTAAGACACCCAGAGACCTGATGATTTTTATAATATAGAAGATAAAGGCATTGTAATGGTGAAGAGACACTTTGCTGACCATGAAAAGGTTAGTGAAACATGGAATTCTCTGTATGTGCATACACAACAAGTCTGCATCTATGCCTTTTCATTTCAGTTAATACCATGCTTCAAAGCTATTCAAAACTGTTTTTAAATATAAAGTGCATTTTGAGATTTATTTTCTGCCCTTGAGCACAGTGACACTTTGAAGATATCATTAGTTAAAATTCTAAGCAGGCTTCAAAGGTAGTACAAGATGCAAGACAGTCCATGAACAACGATTCTGCAGCTCAGGGAGTCCATCAATGAAATTCAAGTCCATTCTCCAACTTCACAAGAAAAATGACCTTCACAAAATGTCACTGCTGGCAGGCAATGTGATTATTAAAAATGTATAGACTAAGCAACAAAATCTGAAAGGGCATGAAGTCCAAGCAGCAGTGTAATTCTCAACACAAGTTTCTAAAAATAGTTGTTTCAAAATATATATGTTTATATTTATTACTGCAGATGGACCTCTACAGACAAGGAAATGTTTTCATGTTTGCAGGCTGACTGGACTGGATGAATGTAACCAGAAAAAGCTGCTGCTAAGTAAACCACTGTTACAGTGACATCTGCTCTTGAAATTAGCAACTGTATAGTCCACTTCTGGGATTTCCTCAAATAACATGACTCAACATGTGTCCTGCACAGGAACTGAAATCACCATCACATTGGGAAGCTCTAAATTTGCTATCCATATATGAACAAAATCAGCAATGCCGCAATCTGTAACAACTCTTTTTTTCACCTAACAAGGTACCAAAGTGCAGGTGGCCAGGTTTTCTCATACTTCTTTCAATATTTTTTGTTTGAAGGAAGGGTGGAAGAGACACATCAAATCTAGATTTTCATCTGTGTCCAGATCAGGAGTTAACGGTTGGGTACCAACACTTGCCTCCATGGAAACTATTAAGGAATTAGTGACTCAGCACCTTCACATTTTACCAGTACTCTAGCAAGGCTGAATTAATACTGTTCAACCTTGTTTCATGGGCAATTTTTTTGTTGGTAGTCTCACCATCAGCCAGCTGTTGCACGCTGCAGGGGGCCATAGTGTTGGCACAGGATGAATCACAAATCAAGGCTGCTGCCCTCGGCTCTCTTACAACAGCAGTGATGACACTGTTGGGCAGATGCAGGAAAAAATGACCATGTTTCGTTCAGAGCTGTCACACTGATGCCTTAATCAGGACTGAAGCTTTACATTAATTCCTAAACCTGAGGCTGATGACTCAAGTAGGTGGAAAATACTGGAGCAAAACTGCATAAAACACTACAATGATACCAGAAAGCATTTCTGATGGATAAGCTGGTAGTGCAAAGAAAGCAGGTCCACATAGGAGTGAGTTGGAAGAGAGGGGTTCCACAGAAACACAAGTTCTTGAAAGTAAAAGCCAGAGTACAAGAGAAAGACAAATGTGGAAAGTCCAGCTTGAAGGTTGCAAAGAAAGGCAAGGTTTGTAATTTAGACAGGACAAGGGAATGTGGGAAGAAGAATCTAAAGTGCAAAGGCACAATTGCAGGAAATCCAAGCAGTAGGATTCTCATAAGGGGAGAAATGAGAATAGCGTGAGGGCAAGTGAATGAAGTGAGTGGGACGGAAAACAGCGAGGAGGTTGGAACCCAAGGAATTTTAAGTTCCCTTCAAACCCAAACCATTCAATGGTTCTGCAAAGAAAGACTGCCCAAGGCAGCCTTGACAGAAAATAGATGAGGGAGAAACTCAGGAGAAGCAAAATGGGAAGACAAGAGATGACAGAAGTGTCAGGACATGGGGGAGCCATGGAGAGACACAATGGGATTGAAATAAAATGCTGGTTTCTACTCCAAAAAGGAGAAGTAGGGACAGACAATTTAATTATTTAGGATTTACTAAGAACAACTATGAGAGCAGTATCTCTTATATTTCATTGCTATATGAATAAATGCAATTGATTTTAAAGCACATTTTTGATTGTTTACAAAGTGCCTTTTTATTGGAGTTAGGGCATTATGTTCCCAAACCAACTGGTATATTTTTAGATATCTTTGACGTAGTTGCGGTTGCTTAACAGATGGCTCACTGCCAATTGGTTTCACAGAGTTCTCTGCTGCTTCACTGCCTTTCTTTGCCTCCACATAAATTGTTAGTTCAGCTTCTAACCGGTGGAAACCCTCACATGCAGTTATTGGAGGATATACCTAATGCAGACTGATTTAATAAAAAGACCTAGGACTACTCTTCTGGAAATGTTCAGAAACTCCTTATCTTTGTCTTTCAGGTATTAAGCATAGCAAAGGTTGACCTCAATAGTAAGCAATGATCTGAGACCTTTCATATACACTGCAGCTGGTTTTAGGCAGTAATATCGTTTTACTTCTTCAACTAAAATGCAAATATGAGACTCAGAAATCATAATAAATTCAATTAAATTAAAATGACAGAGCCTCTGTGGAAAATATTATTTCTGTTGAACAAGTTAAAATCTATGACTCTGCATAGTATATAATAGAGCTATAAATGCAAATTAATGGACAAATTTGCAGATAATTTATGTTTAACAGATTACAGCATTAGCATCAATAAGATTTAATTACCTATTTGAGCTTTCCACTGCAAGCTGAAATCTTGGAAGGGCTTTACCAAAGAAATACCTATATAACCTCTGCAACAGAGCTCACAGACCACACAAGAGGAGAGAAAAACTAGAGAAATAGATCAGTCAAATATGCAACAATGTCTGTCAACCAGTTGTGTAAGAAGTGTGCACTTTAGGAATAAAAATTGCATCTCAGCCTGAAGATGAGATGCCTTCTTCAAAGTTATTCAGAACTCCTCTCCTGGAGACAACACATGTGCCAGTAATTTTTATTCACAAATCAGCTATTTCAGGTTATTGTCTACTTCCCTACTCTTATTTTGCAGGGAGAAAATAGAGCTTACTTGGAGCAAGAGTGATCAGAGCTTCTCATCAAAAAAACCACTAATCTATTTCTTCTACCTGAACAATAAGAAATACAGGTTTCAGCAGCTGGTTTCTTTCAATACATTGGAAAGTTTTTTGGATAAGGATTTTAACTCATCTCAGTTTCATCATTATGCTGTCTTTCCTTGAATTCTTCCTGTTCTTTGCCACCAATAACCTGTACGGTGATATTGTCTCTTTTTTTTTTTTTTTTTTAATGGATAAGGCATGACAGGATTTGCAGTCTTTGATG